GAAGGATGATTCAAGAGAATGCCAAGACTAGGAATGGTTTCCTTACCAAAGCCAGGAGTGGCTTCCAAAATAATACTCATCAATAAAGATTCAGCAAATAACATCATCATGGGATGGGATCCCTCCACCAATGATGATAACAAAAGATAAAACAGAAAAAGGCAAGCTTCATACATGATGAAAAAGCCGAAGCATTTATAAAAATAGTAGAAAAAGGCAAGCTTCAAATATGAAAAAGCCGAAGCTAAGAAAACAAAATTTAGAAAAAAAAACCTATTACAAGCAGGCGCCTGGAGAGGCATCACAATACTCAAGCGGCAGGGGTAACATTGGAATCCCTGCCAGCCATCCACTTCTCTGCCCACCAACACAGGGGCACAACAAACATCTCCTGCCCATCCACCTAGGGGCAGTCTTTCATTCCACAACAATCCACCAACAATCAAACAATCAATCATCAAAAGGACTCAGCAGTGCGCCTGAAGAGGCAGACACAATAATACTCACAATATCAGCAGGCGACCTGGAGAGGCCGACACAATAATACTCACAATATCAGCAGGCAGCCTGGAGAGGCCGGCACAACAATACTCACAACATCAACAAGCGGCTTAGAGAGGCCGGCACAACAATACTCACAACATCAACAGACGGCCTGGAGAGGCTACGAAAATACTACGGCTTGAAGAGGTTCAAGTCTCTACGCTCTTTTAGTTTTTTCTAGAGACTTATAAATCTTTTTTTTATGTTTCTAGAATTTTCTTTTTCTTTCTTATACATCTTATCTTATGTTTTCTAGAATTTTCTTTTTTCTTTTCTAGAATTTGCATCATAATTTAACACTCCTCCTTGATGCAAATTTCGGTAACTCCAAGCATAGTCCGTAGTTGTTCAAACTTTGCTCTTGGTAGTGCCTTTGTAAATATGTCTGCAACTTGATATTCTGTTGAGCAGTATTCAAGTTGAATTTGCTTAGTTGTCTCTGCTTCTTTGATGAAGTGATATTTGATGGCTATGTATTTCGTTCTTTGATGATGAACTGGATTCTTTGCCATTGCTATTGCTAATTTGTTGTCACAGTATATAACAATCGGTCCATCTTGTTGTTCACTCATTTCTTCAAGTATTCTCTGTAGCCATATTGCTTGACTTGTAGTTTCAGAAGCTGCTATATACTCTGCTTCTGTTGTTTATTATGCAACTGTTACTTGCTTCTTTGACACCCAAGAGAAAAATCCATATCCTAGTGAGAAGGCATATTCTGATGTATTATTCATGTCGTTTATTGATCTTGCCTAATCACTGTCGGTATAGCCAATCATCCTTGATTTGGTCATGGTTTTATACCATATACCAAACTTCCTTGTGCCTTGTAGATATCTCAATATTCTTTTTCCTGTTCCATAATGAATTTGACTTGGCTTTTGTATGAATCTTGATAGAAGACTTTTAGCGAACATGATGTCTGGTCGTGTAGTTGTCAAATAAAGTAAACTTCCAACTAGACTCCTATATCGGGATGCATCAGCTTCTGGTGCTCCATCCACCTTTTGTAGTTTCTCATTCATCACTAGCAGTGTACTTACAGGTTTGCACCCATACATATTAAATTTCTTCAGTAAAACTTTTGTATATTTCTTTTGTGAGATGAATATTCCATCATTTCTCTAACTTACCTCTATATCGAGGAAGTAACTCATCAAGCCAAGATCAGTCATCTCAAAGGTCTTCATCATGTCTTCTTTAAACTCCATCATCATCTTTGTATTGGTTCTAGTGTACATAAGATCATCTACATATAGAAAGAGTAAGAGAGTATGTTGACCTAGAGTCTTGATGTACAGTCTAGACTCACTCTTACTACTCCTGAATCCATGATCAGTGAAGTACTGGTCGATCTTGCTATACCATGCTCTAGGAGCTTGCTTTAGGCCATATAAAGCTTTCTTTAGTCTCAACACTTTGTCTTCATGGCCTTTCATCACACAAATCCTGGTGGTTGCTCCACATAGATCTCTTCTTCAAGTACGCCATTGAGGAATGTAGACTTGACATCTAGTTGGTAGATGTCCCATCCTTTTTGTGCCGCAAGAGCTATTAGAGCTTTTATATATTGTGTCTAGGCAAGAGGTGACATATTGAAGGAGCCAAGAGGAGTTGGCTAGACATGAAGGTTTGGGCCAGTCAGGGCCCAATGGGCCTGATGGGCCTGGGAAGGCCCAAGTTGAACTTTTCATGGGCCATATTTTGTTATAGCTATTTTCATATGTTTTGTATACATCATGTTAGTATAGGTATCATATATTTTGGTCTACAATTAGCATATTTTTGTCAAACCCAGATATAGAGCATTGAAATGTTATGAAATAGATTTTGAGGTATCTTCATGGTATTGCAAATATAAGGTTTTGTTTTGGTGGTGATAAGCCTACATTGGTGGGGTACTTGGACTCTGGAAGCATATTGATGTGAAGTATCATTGGATATGTGATGCTTTGGATGTTAAGTTGTTGCAACTAGCCAAAATTCACACTGATGATAATGGTGCTAATATGACAAAGGCATCAAGAGGAAAGTTTGAAGCTTGTCGTGAGATCATTGGTTTGGTGGTTATCTCTACGTACATAGTTTTGAGGGAGAGATTTGTTGGGTTTTGGACTTCCTTTCTATGTGGAGAATAGGCTCAAATTGTGTAAGCTCATCATGTCTTACTTAACCAGGTGTAGAGGGTTCAAATTAGAGTATAGTGAGAGTGACTCAATTTGAGAAAACATCAGTAAAATATAAAGAGAATATAAGAGAGAAAGTTATATTGCATATCTACTAGACAACATATGTTGAATTGCAACTAGAGATTCATTTACTATTGGATTAGCCTAATATTTGGAAAGCAGGTTCACAAGATGTGACGTTTCATATTCAACGATTGGATCGTCAAAAAGAATTTTGGAGTGGGACAAAAAAGTCTCACAATAATAGCTCTAATTTTGGGATTTTTTGATCTTCTTGTTTCTCAATTGTAAGTAATCATGCTCGATTTTGCTTTGACTGATTATAAGCACTCTTTGGTGCCTTGTTTGGAGATTCACTTTTACCACTTGTTGATCATAGTATAATTTTTTTCGATCTAGATGACTCGTGATTTTTACTCTTATATTGAGGGATTTTTTACTTTAAAAATATATGCTTTTCTTATGCGTATGGATTATCTATTTTTTTACTCTATTTTATTGGTACTCCTCGAAAATTCTTGCAAGTAAGAGAATTTAATTTTTGCTGCATTATTACTCTTTAACGTTAGAGTCTTTGTTTTTGTGTTGAAACTTTCCATCACTATACATATACGTGTTCATATATACACCAATTATTTATGTATCAGATAGACGCATTTACATTTAGGTATATGGTGGTTAATGAATTGAAGTCAATTTAACAATTTATTTTCACACTGATCCATAGAAATAAGAGGTGTTGCTAACTGTCTAGAAAAACGAGTGACCAAAATATTATTTCTCCGTAGATAATTTAATAATGAAATGAAGCTTTCGAATGTAAAATTCACTACTAGGAAAATACTATTTTACGTCGCTATATTTACATTAGTTCTCCAAGAAACGATGTAAAAAAATATATGCGGTGGCAATCTTGTAAATAAGTAGAAAATATAAGTAAATTTACATCGGTTCTTCCTAAAACCGATGTAGAAATGAAGTATTCTACATTGAGTTTCCTTTTAACCGATGTAGAAGTGATGAGCAATTTCTTCCGCGCACTAACATAGTACCTTTAGCGCCTCTCAACACTCTCGCACACACTCATCTCCACTTGCAAGAAGGTGATTTTTGAAGCAGCCCCATGTGAACACAGACTGAACTTCGAAGCTACCTCGCGCGAATCACACACTAGCAGGCTCGCTGATCTTCGAAGCTCATGATTTTTTCATACACTAGCAGGTTCGTTGAAGAAGCCCTCTTCGATGAACATTTTAGGTAAACATTGAAACCCTTGTAATTGCGTATTTTAATTTTGTCTTTTGTTTCTTGTTGCGTCTCTAATCTTGTACAATGGGGTGCTGATGGTTTAGGGTTTGGAGTCGCTCCCGGAGGAGCTTTCCCGAAACGCGGTGGTCTTGTCGTGAGTCCATTGCTGAACGTATTTCTTTAAGGTATGATGCAACTTTGTTTGGCTTCAAAAAATGGAGTTTGTGTGGGACTTTTGTTTGAGATTTTGAATTTAGTGTAAAATTTGCCTTACACAATTGCAAATTATATCTAATTTTTTCGACAACTCAGTGTTGAATATCTTATTATATATGGGTTTGTGTCCTTTATCCTTCAATATACTATTTCAGATAATTTCCGATGGGAAAAAAATTCGTAAGAAAAGTTATATTACTGAGAATAATTTTCTATGGATATATACAAATATTTTAGAAATTTTATATTTTCAACGAATACAAATCAGTCGAAAAATTTATATTTCTAATGGATATATTCGTCAGTAATTTCCAATTGATATATTCGTTGGTAATTTTTGGCATATATAAATTTGTCGAAAAATATATTTTTGATTAAAAAAAATTCATAGGATTTACAAAATTTACATTTAATATAAAGTTATTGAATAGTGTAATACTTAATAAAATTACACTGATATTATTATAACCTCATCATATATATATATATATATGTGTGTGTGTGTGTGTGTGAGAGAGAGAGAGAGAGATATTTAATATGATAGCTAAAATTGTATTAGAGAATGTTTTTTTACTAAACTAGTAGGATAAGACTTGGTTTAAGTATTTTAAGTGACTAAAATATTTTAGTATTTCTACACTTTTAATTTTATTTTTTGCATACAGTCTTAAACAAATAACATAATATTACATTTTTTTATTAAAAACAACTGCAAAAACCAAACTAAACCCTAAAATATTAGTTTGATTTAGTTCAAATTTCATAATTCATTTAAATTAAATCCCATTTAATTTTCTTATTTGGTTTGAATGATTTACAAGGTAAAAATTGAATCAAATTGCACTGTTAATATCCTACACAAGATTCAAACTCAAAATATTGTTTAAGAAGAGCAAGTTTTATATCCTGAAATATTGTGATTTGTTTAAGAGATTAATCTCTTGAACACATATGTTAATTTTTTTATATATATAAATACATATTCTGACCACACATAATTATTTAGAGGTAATTAAGGTTATTAATCACACTACTAGTTTTCATTGATTGATTATTAAGTGATCGACCAAAGAAACGTTATATGGTTAGGATGGGAAATTAAAATATTTGTTCCTCCTAAGCAACTTCCGATTCAAATGTGATCTAATGTAGGGAAGAGCAATAGCGTGTACTATTTGGTAACATAGAAACATGTGTATTTTTAGAGGAGGTCAGTTTGGCAGAAAATTTATACTGAAAGAGATTCTTCAATCAATTTGGTTTTGGCTAGTGTTTCCAAAAGTCATTCAATTATTGTTTCTTCCTGTGGTCCTTAAATTCATGATTGTGTTTGCAAGACTAGGGTATAGACGGTGGATATATAGCAGTAGGGATGACTCTAAATGGGTGAGGTCATAATTGTACTGCATGTTGATGTCATAAACATGTATTAATAATTAGGATTATCACATTTGAGATATCACTATAATAAAATGGAGGTTTAGTGACATTTAATATGATTTTTAGTAACAATAAAAATTGTTACAAAATTTTTTAACGGCATTTCACACATTAGTCATTGTATTGTATGCAGTGTCGCTAAAACATTTACCGGCAATTATCCTATATGCTGGTAAAGACCCTCATAATAGTTGGGAAAAGTGTATAACTTTCTGTGTCATTTGTTACTAGCATTTAAAATTGCCGCTAAAAATTTAAGAAAAGATTTATAATACTCTTTAATTACTTATTTCTAGTCGATGTAGGACTTGTAAGATAAGTACAAATACTCTTTAATTATCTTATTTCTAATTAATGTGAGACTTAGAAGATGAAGGTTATCTTTTAAGTATATATTCTTTAAATTTTTTAATTATCTTATCTCCTGAATACCAACTTAGAATAGTAAGTTATAGGCCTAACTCAACCTTATAAAACATACTTGTAAGGTGAGAGTTATCATTCACTTATATACTCTTTAATTATTTTATTTCTAGTCGATGTGGAACTTAAGTTTTTTCTAACAAATAATTATCGTTAATAGTAAATTTTGATGTGATATAAGTACATTTTTAGTGACTATTATATAATAGTCATTAATATTTTTATTAAATAATAAAATAGAGGCAATTAATTTATTGTCATTAAATAATTGTTGATAATACTAAATTTTGTTGTAGTGTATATATTATCTACTTTCACGCTTGTTAGATTGTCACAATTTTATTCTTTAAAATACGTCTTAGTGAATTAAGAAGGGAGATTATTTATAAACTACCTTTAATCTCAACTCTTAAATAATATAGAATTTTTTAGGCATATCAGTAGAAAAACTTAATTGTGGGAGGCCCTGATTATATGTAGTACAGAGTTAGTGGAATAATGGTTTATTTATTACTTTCACGGGTGGTAGGATTGTAGTTTTGGTTTGTAGTGAGTGGTTAGAGGCATAAAATTTGTGTGGGGGCTTTTGTTTGACATTTTGAATTTAGTGTAGAATTTGCCTTACACAATTACACATTATATCGAATTTTTTCGACAAGTCAGTGTTGAATATCATATTATATATGGGTTTGGTGTCCTTTATCCTTCAATATACTATTTCTTTGATGTCTAAAAAAAAAATTAAAAAAAATAAATAAACATGTAGGGCAGACCACGCACGTTTATCAGAAGTATATCAAGCGAGCTCAAACGAGTACCGTTCATTTATGTGTTCCAAATTATGCAGTGTGTATACATGAGTAGTTAAATACTCTATCAGTTGGGGGTCCCATCATTTGGCTATATCTGAATCTGAAGAACAAACCTATAATTGCATATGGTCCTAATTACTTGGTATATCAAAGAACATAATAATTGTTATTCGTATATGTACAGAACATGGTCTATAAATTAGCATTATAATTGGTATTCATTCCACAACACACCTCTCTCTCCAATGGCACAACAATTATCGGTTATCAACCCTTCTTACTGTGTTCCTGACTCTCTCGATCTACAAATTAATACAAAAAAAGGTGCCGCTTACAACAAAAATGGCGACCTTGTCTTTAAGGTAATAAAAGAGACTTTGTTAACACTTCACCACCGTCGTGTCTTGTGTGATGATAAAGGAAACCCCATCGTCACTCTATACAAAAGGGTAAGCCATCTTAATATCTTATATTCATCCATTTTCTTGTGTTAATCCAATTTTCCGACCAATATATATTTTCGTTCCATATTATATGTTCTTAATAATTTCTAATTTTGTAGAATAAGACATTGCACGGGCGGTGCCAAGTTTTCAGGGGTAAAAGCAATGATCTCTCTCAATTGCTCTTTTCAGTGTCAATGACCCGAAGTGATAATAATATTAGATTAGATGTCTTCCTCGCAAACAACCAAGACGAAAGCATGTGTGACTTTAGAGTCATCATTTCTAGAAATAAAAGCACGTGCACCATTTATTTACGTGAATCTCCAACAATTGTTGCCGACGTATATATGTTATGAGTATTAACTTTTTTACACACCAATTAATTTAACTAATTTTTATTTCAGATGAATAATTATAATTTTGGTTTCTCTCTTTTATAGATGTTTAACAATGGTGGCTTCAAAGTTTGCATCCGTCCCAACGTGGACCACGCATTCATAGTGGCACTAACTATAATTGTTAGCAAAATGGGAAATTTTAAAAAGCTTATGAGTAAGTTGACGAATACTGCAAATGTGGCGATGCGAGGTATCGCAACTGCCGGGGCAATAGGGGCAATGGCTTCAGTACTGTGAAACATCAATACTTCAATTTGCTTTACTTCAATTTGCTTCACGTATCCATATCTAATACGATATAATTGGATACTTCACCAATACGATATCAAATAGTAAAAACTTCTTTAATTGAATGGGAAGACAAATTTATATTAATAGACTTACTTGAAATGAAAACTAGTTTAGAGGAATAGTTAGAATAGATTTGAGTGAAAAATGACTTACCGGTTGTTTGAGATATAAATGTTGGATATATGATTTGGCCTCAATACTACCATTTATGCTTTATGTAGAAGATTCTAGACATATCTATTCTAGAGTTTTTTTTATCTATATATAATTGTCTATATAATTCTAAATTTTGTATCATCTAGTAATTACTAACATATACTTATATTTTTCCTAAAATAATTTAATTTATTCTATAAGTTTGTATTACATTTTAACAATTATGATAATCACGAACTTACATAACATAATTATTTTTCTTTTTTCATGATGTATTTCATATTAATTGTTTCAATCAACGTTGGGGTTCGATTGTTGATGCTTAATGTCAACTTACTATTCTACGATCTCCATTAATTGCCGGTCTATCATTGGCTTATATGTTGCTATTGTTTTACATTTTTATTTTATTTTTGAATTTGTTATTATGTAGTTGCGTACAATCTTTAAACACATTGTTAGTATGTAAAACACTCATAGAAGTACGATAATGATTTTTTCGATACATATTTATTATTCAAGTAAAGTTAATATATTTTATATTTTTTTTATTATTTATTTTAATATGATACTTTTTAGACAAATTTTTGTGAAACTTCTTAACTTTTTATGAAACTTAAAAGAATATCCAATACATTAATTATTAATATATATCTTTGTTCCTCTAGCTAATAATACATATTAGCTCTCATCTAAAGTTTTTAATTATTTTTTTAGTAACATATAATATTAATTTTTACATCATTAATATGAGACAAAAAAAAGAGTAATACATTGTTAGGCCCACTTTATGAATGAAACAATGTTAATTAAAATAATTACATGTATAAAAGATTTCATTATTTTATTTAGTTTTCAAGAAATAATAAATTTTATTAATTAATTTTTTTTATCTTTCAATATTGTTGCTTAAAGAGCACAGTAGATGTATAAAAATATAACATATTTTCAAATTGAGAAATTATTGAAAACGTAACATTTCACTTGATGTATTGTTAGACAATAATTTAATTTCAAAATTTACACTAATTTTTATACGTTAACAATATATATAATTTAAAATAAATGCTTAATATAAAAAAGATATATAACACTTTACTTTATCATTTTAAGAAATGAATGATACAAGAAAATAAAAATTATTAAAATCAACTATGAACAATCATGCAACACAACCATATTCTTTTGAAAAAAGAATTATAACTCTTTAGTATTTTTGTCTTTCTTTTATTAAAAATAAGAAAATAAGTGAATCTTTCTCACTATAATGTATAATAACAAAATGATAAAATAATTTAAAAAATTATTTAATAAAAATATATTTATGTCATTGTCAGGTGATACACATTTGACAAGTATACTAATTGATATAGTAGTAAAGAAGATAAATGTAACACCCGTTTTTTTAATTTCTATTTTATTTTATTTTTATAATTTTTGGTTGCCCGGAACGGGCCGTTCCAAAAGTGGAACGGGCCGATGAATATATACTGTTTTTGTAGAAGCAAAACGGGCCGTTTCCAAAATTGGAACGGGTCGTTCTGGAGGGAGAACGGGCCTTTCTGCTTGATTGAGAACGGGTCGTTCTGGTTTCTGGAACGGGCCGTTCCAGTTCAAAATTTTACGTACATTCGAAAGGTCCAGAACGGCCGTTCCACTTTTGGAACGGGCCGTTCCGGGTAGGTGAGCTTGAAATCCTATAAATAGGCCCTCATTTCTCTCATTTTCTCACACCTTTCTCTTCCTCTTCTCTTCTTCTGTTCTCTCTCTTCTCTCCCTCTACTTCCTGCTTTAGACAAAGGGAAGCTTAGAGAAGGAGGTTGTGCTCTGGTTTCAACTCCTGCTTATCCAGGTAAGGGGGGAGTGAGAAACCTCGTTCTGGGTGTGGGATTGTATGCTGGGTAGTGGGATTGGCTCCCAATCCTGTGTTTGTTGTATTTCATATTTTCTTGTATGTTCCAATTACTTAATTAATATGTGTGTATGAATAGAATCTTTGTTTAGGCTTTGATTATGAAAGTTGTGAATGTGATGTGATAATGCGTATGTGATGGAATGTAATGAGGAGATTTTGATGATGAGATGTGATGATAATGTGATATGGGAACGAGATATGAAATGTGATAATGAAAAATGATGATGAAATGTGATGACGAAATGTGATAATGTGAAATGACTATGGGAAATGATGTGATATGAGAATGCATAGAATCTTGATTGACATGCATCATTTGCATAAGTGATAAGGGTACGATATGGAATACACCGCCAGAGAAGGCCCCCTAGTGTAAAAGCTTTGGGGATCAGTCCTTGGGGATGACTCAGTTTGGAAGTTCCAGTCTCGCCCATTGTGTGCATGGGATGTATTTTGCGCGGCTTAGCTATCCTGACGAGACTCTGGTAGTATATCCTTCTAGTGAGAGTGCGCAGAGGGTGTGACCTGGCATGTACTCCTAGACTACTCTTCGTGTATTGCTAGCGGCAATATGCTATGTGATATGTGATTGGCGCCACATGCATGATAAAATGTAGTATGTGTCCATACATGTACATTTTAATGTTATATGAAAAATTGATATGTCTTGGATGAGTGAGATGTGAGATTGTTATTAATCTATCTATGTTATACATGTTTTGTTTGTGTTTGGCTATCTAGTGTATATTCTTACACTGTGAGCCGAGTGAGATGTTTCTCACTCCCTTTTCTTTGTGTTGTTTTCCTTTGATCGCTATACAGGTGATTATCAGCATGGGGCTGAGGATGTTGATGGTGAAGCTTAGGCTTCTATATGGGCTTAGCTCTAATAGGACATGTGACATCGGGGCATAGATAAGATTAGATTAAGGTGCTATTCTATTAAATTATTTTGAAAACTTTAGTTTTATTTCTTTGTAATTTTCGTTAATCATGTTATTTGTTAAGTTATGGATGTGGTACTCTCTATCTAAATACGTTTGATTATGTGATGTTATATTATTCAAATTTATTGTGTTATGATATGCAGGGTAGAGGGTGTCACATTTAGTGAACCAATACAAAGATGATGATGGAGTTTAAAGAAGACATGATGAAGACCTTTGAGATGACTGATCTTGGCTTGATGAGTTACTTCCTCGATATAGAGGTAAGTTAGAGAAATGATGGAATATTCATCTCACAAAAGAAATATACAAAAGTTTTACTGAAGAAATTTAATATGTATGGGTGCAAACCTGTAAGTACACTGCTAGTGATGAATGAGAAACTACAAAAGGTGGATGGAGCACCAGAAGCTGATGCATCCCGATATAGGAGTCTAGTTGGAAGTTTACTTTATTTGACAACTACACGACCAGACATCATGTTCGCTAAAAGTCTTCTATCAAGATTCATACAAAAGCCAAGTCAAATTCATTATGGAACAGGAAAAAGAATATTGAGATATCTACAAGGCACAAGGAAGTTTGGTATATGGTATAAAACCATGACCAAATCAAGGATGATTGGCTATACCGACAGTGATTAGGCAAGATCAATAAACGACATGAATAATACATCAGAATATGCCTTCTCACTAGGATATGGATTTTTCTCTTGGGTGTCAAAGAAGCAAGTAACAGTTGCATAATAAACAACAGAAGCAGAGTATATAGCAGCTTCTGAAACTACAAGTCAAGCAATATGGCTACAGAGAATACTTGAAGAAATGAGTGAACAACAAGATGGACCGATTGTTATATACTGTGACAACAAATTAGCAATAGCAATGGCAAAGAATCCAGTTCATCATCAAAGAACGAAATACATAGCCATCAAATATCACTTCATCAAAGAAGCAGAGACAACTAAGCAAATTCAACTTGAATACTGCTCAACAGAATATCAAGTTGCAGACATATTTACAAAGGCACTACCAAGAGCAAAGTTTGAACAACTACGGACTATGCTTGGAGTTACCGAAATTTGCATCAAGGAGGAGTGTTAAATTATGATGCAAATTCTAGAAAAGAAAAAAGAAAATTCTAGAAAACATAAGATAAGATGTATAAGAAAGAAAAAGAAAATTCTAGAAACATAAAAAAAAGATTTATAAGTCTCTAGAAAAAACTAAAAGAGCGTAGAGACTTGAAGAATCTAGAAAATTCTAAATATTTCCACCATCATCTAGAGATGGAGCACCATGCCTTAATCTTACCACTAGTCATGAAGTAGAAATTCAAGAACAAATCATTCTAAAGAAAAATGAATCTCAACTTCAAGATGTAGTGAAGAAGGAGTGGACTACATTTAGTTCCACTTCTTGTGCTACTTCCTTGGAGGTGCCCAAGGAAGATAGCCTTCCTCTCTTTAGGAATCCTTCTACCATAGTTGTTCTAATAAAGCACCCAAATTTTGGAATCTATTGTTTGATAGATACATCTTGTCATATTTCATATTCTATTTTTGATCTTATGGGAAGTTCATCCTTATTTGAACTTAATTTGCACCCTTCCCTACAAGACAAAAATAGTTTATATGAGTTTTCAAGATTTTCCAAGACATTTTATCTACCAAACAATATGATTCAAAATTGTTTAGGACGTTTTCTAGTATTCTTTTCTTTATATTTTAGGAAAAGCCTAGGCTACCATTTAGGGTATTTTAGGCAAGATATTGTAGTGTTTAAAAATCATTCTTTTCATTGTCTTAGTCATAGTGTTATTACATTCTTAGGTTTTACTTCTAGGTTATGCTTAGGAGAGGAGCCTATTTCTACTTTTAGGGAGTCTAATTTTGATAGTTTATTTTTTCTTAGGCTAGATATAAGGACTCCTCTTAGGATCCATAATCCATTTTCTCATCATAAACATGTCACCTCTTATACATGGTTTGTTGTGTATGTAGGTGATGTTTCTTATTCCATGCATCCTCGTGATTTGAGGACAAATCCTTTTCAAGAGGGAGGGGATGATGGAATCATGCCTAGGAAGGCAAGAGGTGACATATTGAAGGAGGCTTGACTTGTAGTTTCAGAAGCTGCTATATACTCTGCTTCTGTTGTTTATTATGCAACTGTTACTTGCTTCTTTGACACCCAAGAGAAAAATCCATATCCTAGTGAGAAGGCATATTCTGATGTATTATTCATGTCGTTTATTGATCTTGCCTAATCACTGTCGGTATAGCCAATCATCCTTGATTTGGTCATGGTTTTATACCATATACCAAACTTCCTTGTGCCTTGTAGATATCTCAATATTCTTTTTCCTGTTCCATAATGAATTT